TTGGTCAGCCTGTGGAGGGGCGGTGGGGTTTGGTCAGCCTGGGGGGGTTGGGGTTTGGTCAGCCCGTGTAGGGGCGGTGGGGTTTGGTCAGCCTGGAGGGATTGGGGTTTGGTCAGCCCGTGTAGGGGCGGTGGGGTTTGGTCAGCCCGTGTAGGGGCGGTGGGGTTTGGTCAGCCTGGGGGGATTGGGGTTTGGTCAGCCCGTGTAGGGGCGGTGGGGGGTGTTTGGTCAGCAGGCAGGCGGAGCTCAAGGGCCGAGGCCGATGCGCTCAGCTGTTTATTTTCAAACTCCTTCGCAGTTCCTGTGGCTATGCCTCAGGCAGCGATCTCCCGGGAATGGGCTCTCACCTGGCCTGGCGGAAAGCACGATCGCCAGTGCCGCCAGTCGGAGCGCTGTACCAGCCCCCATGCTCCTCATGGCCGCGCACCAACCGACAGCCAACGTGCCCGCGCACCACCAGGGGCGGGAAACTCCGAGCATGCGCCGCGCCGTCTCCAGCCACCGCCCACAGCTGCTCCCCCTCCCCGGGACTGTGTGATGGCGGCGGCCTCTTAGTTGCTAGCTGGGTCTTCGACGATTTTTCACCAATGGCTTCTTATTATGTTCATATGGTCGTTTCAATGAATTTTGCCACAACTATTTGTGCATATTTAAGAATCAGGATGGAGGTTTGAAGGTCGTCTACAAAACTTGACGCCTTTGGCCCGCCGATTAGCGAGGTCCCGCCTCCAGTTCGGCCCCCCACTCATGGTCACGTGCCGGGGGCACGGCCGTTTCCTTGCGCGCTGACGCCAGGACGCACGAATCCTGGTCGCGCTGTCACGCACGCTATCCCAGTTACGCGCTGGCGTCACGGAAGAGCGGAAGCGTGCGTGGAGGGATTCTCCCGCCTGTGAGTGTATCCATGTGAAAGAGCGACAGCAGCTTGACACTGCAGCCACGTGGAATCAGCAGGACAGCGGCAAGGCACAGGTCAGGCAGCAATGGAGCAGCATTCCTCGTACATATACACATTAGGGATTGGGAATATTTTCAGGACACATCCTGGAGTGTTTTTTAGGATTACGTGAGATTTTTTGATGCTGAAATTTGAAGTGTAGGAATACGAAAATAGATGGAAAACTTCACGTTTTCAAATAAATGAGTGGGGATTAGTTATCATTCTGTACAGTTACTGTTTGCTTTGTTTTAATTCCTTCCTTTAGAAGTTCCGTTTACGAATCCGGTGACGAAAACGCGATCTGATGTTGGTAGACGTAAACAGTAGAATACAACCGATTGACAGCTCGGAGCGGAGTAAACAATATCCTATTATTCATAGAGTAGAAATTTTAACGATGTTGATATTGTAATCAGTATTTGCTGAATGGATATTAGAACCAGAATTGTAGTTTTACATTATTGGTTAGAATAAGAATAAAACTTTAAATGGCGAATGTCGTGAAGACTGAAACGCAGCATTAGTGTGACTTGAATAGTTATATATATCTTTGAGACCATTGTAAATAACGGTGGTGTGGAAATTGCTCGTGATGTGTCACCTTTTCAATGAAACATGTTGGAGTGCTGGTTTCTTGGAGCGAGTAGCTTAATTTGACAAGTATGCTGACTTTGAGGCAATCGTGTGCGTATGAAACAGGTTCCTCCACTTATTTCAACGCTTTTGTGATAAAAAGACGTTTCGGTGCACTGGAATTATACGCTAATGTTTTGTAGAATAATTTTTGTAAATGTCGTTTCTTCTGGACCATACCCCCGTCTCCCAACCATCAGAAACAAAATGAAAGACGACTGGAGCCACAACCGGCTGGCCAGAGCCATGTCTCTCATTGCCCAATACTGCCATTCCCAATCCTCTTCTTCCCGTTCTGTGATTCTGTGTGAGAAAGGAGCAGCAGCAGGATTTCAGGTGCCAGTTGCTCTGCTAACCACGATCTGCGGTGGCATCTCATTCTTATTGCCTGTTGGCTACAATCACACTTTTTTTTGTCTGGCTGTGATAACATAGTTAAGTTTTTCACCTACTGGTGCCCAAGACATGCCTTCATAGTTTTCAACACATGTAGTTAAAGATCTCTTAAATGCATTGGGCACTTTAGTCGAAAGGCAGAAACTGAAATATATCTTGCATATGTGACGACGTTCCCGGACTACAATGGATTTCCTGCATAAAGATGTTTATTTTGAAATACGACAATCCATTTTGGCTTATTTTCCTGTGAAAATGAGAGGTTTCCTACTTGGGTTGCAACATATCACTCCGGTTTAGTAATTTGATGAGTAGGTTTGTCGTTGGTCTGAGTGCAAATCCAGTAGAAATCCATACATTTTGGAATTGGATTTGAATGGTCATCTTTACTACGTTCAGTGATTTATTTAAAACAATCCTGGCAAGTAATTTCAGCAGAATTTGGATAGAAACAAAGGAGTAGTTAATAATTTTTACAACCAGTCACCACCTAACTTTAAATTGTTGCAACTTGCAATCCAAGTTGGGGATTCGGATCGAAGCGCTCAGCGCCACACAACTTCCAACACTCTCATGCTCAATATAACTTTGCTAAATTAATCTACCCGCCCACAGGCCGTGCTCTGCAGTTGGGTAAAAGGAGCCATTTTGAAGGAAGTATTAACTGTGAATGTGACAGATTAGTATCCAGTGCTGTGCGGTGGCAGAATTGTGGATTCACTTCAAAAGTACCAATAAGTAAAACTTAGAGCTTTGGAAACAGGATACGCTGCCGCTGGTACTGATAGATAATGGATTTATTAAAAAATGAAGCTGACTGTGATGACATCTGAAGAAAAAATAATTAACGTTCGATTTGAGGGGTGGAAGTAACATTCTGTTTTCTATAAAAAGGTTTTGTTTGAATGATGTCTTTATGTTGTCACTGTAAAGGAATAGTAAAATTCTCCGCCCAGTGTTGATGTGATTTATTAGAAACATTGTGTGTTGTAGACTCATGTCTGTTTATGGAAAAGGTAACACCGACGCAAAGGAGGGAAAATCTGAAGCTGATTACCTCCTCAGCACACTGCCAACGTTTCTTGATGACAGCTCATACAGCACTGTTGGTAAAATTCCACTGTGTTGGAATGGATTGTTCAATCCAAAAGTGATCTGTTTTTCTTGTTTTGTGGAATTTTTCCTTAAATCGTTCAGTTAAATACAGTTCTAGAATCGAATGAAAAGGATCACTCGATAAAGTAAAAATCCTTAATTATCACATCCAATCTTCCCCTGGGGCTGAGAATAATTTTCAATAATTTAAAGAATAGTTTTGGGTTTTACCTGCTGTCTAACACTGGACTGCTTTGATTCAGGTTTTCCAATGTTGTAGTAATCTAAATAAACGAAAGACTGGCTCAGGTGGAACAAAAATATTGTAGGAAGTGTTAGGAAGCATGAACTGAGCCTTTTCCTATTACCAAGCAACATTATCTCAGGGTACAGTGGCCTCCTCACTATGGTACTAGCAACAAGAGTTTGTAAATTCAGACCTCATCCTGGCAAGTTGTGAAATTGAATTCAATAAATCTGGCAATTTGTGGCTGGCCACAAAGTAGCTCTGACAGCAGGACTGCTGTATAAACCCAATTGATTCACTTCAAGGAGGAAACATCACCACTGCTTGGTCTAGTTAACAAGTAACTGGTACTCACTGCCCATATCCCAAAATAATTTTAAAAAATGATAAGGCACAGGGAGGGGGTGTGGGGGAGGTTGTTTATTGTCGGTACCAGCTCGTTAAAACAGCTGTCAAATTACTCACACTCTCTGGCTTTGACCCTTCATCTCTCACGATTTCGACCCCCCCTCCCCCTTCTATTATTGATGCAATTTCCTGAAAATTATTGGATCTGCTCCCTGGACCTTTTTAGGCAGACTGTGAAAACTTGCTGTATGCATTTCTTATTCCTAACATTGTTTCTGGCTCTTTTGCCATTTCCCTTCAAATGCCCTTCTCCTATTACAGACATTTCTGCTACAAGCAAGGTTTTCCTTATTCAATGTGTCAAAATAATGCATGATTTTGATAAACTTGATTACAAATTTCCATTTAGCTTGTGCTGTGTGGAGAATCTCCAGTTTCGATAATTTCGGGTAATTCTTCCTGGTGCCAATCTAGTAAATCTCCATTCCCTCTCCAAGGCTTTGTTATCCAATCTCAGTTGTAGTGCCCAAAATAGGACGCAGTCCTTCATCAACACCTAATCTGTGCTTTATAAAGCTTCAGAAAATTTGAGCTCTACGGCCAGAACCTGTCGCACATAGAAGATTTTCAAGAATTGGGAGTTTTCAGATCTTGCTCCCTGCTCCTTAGTGGCAAAATCTTATTGAGGCTGGTGAGTTAGCTTCCTATAGGTTCACTGAACAATAAGAAATGGTAGGTGTTTGACATTACAGAAGATTGTTAGGATTCTGGCAGCCTTCACTGTTTTCCCAGTCAGGACCATGGTAGCAGCTGCTGCTGTATCAGGCCCAGCATTGTTGGAGATATCACCCCTTGGAGAAATGACCCCTTACCATTTATTGCAGCTGTACATTTGAAATCCTTCCAATTGCTTACATCTCCACCCTCCCGCTGTGAGCTACCTCCTCCTCGCTGCCAGGGTGCTGACACTGTGTGTTGCATGGGAATTTGCATTTCTCTGCTAAAATATGTGCTAATTGGCTCGTTAGAAACTTTAATTAGATTTCTGGTATTGTTAGTTGGTTGCTGTCACCAAAGTGATCCCATTTCCAGGAAAAATGTGAGAAGGAGCAAGCATGTTGGAGAGCTAGCCTGATGATTTTATTTGTGATTTTCGCTATTCCATGTACCTGAAAAATTATGTCCTATGCCTCTGTTTCTGAAGCTTTTTAGTAGTATCACAACTTAGTGTCGTAGAGACATGCAGCATGGAAATAGACCCTTATGCCCAACTCGTCCATGCTGATCAAGTTTCACAAACTGAACTAGTCCCATTTACTTGCCTTTGGTCCATATCCCTCTAAACGTTTCCTATCCATCTACCTATCCAAATGTCTTTTAAATGTTGTAATCGTACACAACACTCCCACTTCCTTTGGCAGTTTATTCCATACACGCACCACCCTCTGTGTGAAAAAGTTGTACCTTAGCTCCCATTTAAATCTTTCCCCTCTCACCTTAAACCTATGCCCTCTAGTTTTTGATTCCCCTACCCTGGGGAAAAGACCTTGGGTATTTCCCTTATCTATGCTCCTCTTGATTTTATAAACCTTTTTTTATTCACCTGAATTCAATAATCATTTAATGTACTATATTCAAGACAATACAACCCTAGATAATAAAATTTGCTTTATAGTCATAGAGATATAAAGCATGGAAACAGACCCTTTGGTCCAATACGTCCATGCCAACCAGATATCCTATATAAATCTAGTCCCATTTGCCAGCATTTGGTCCATATCCCCTTTAAACCTTTCCTATTTGTATACCCCTCCAGATACCTTTTAAATGCTGTAATTGTACCAGCCTCCAACA